GGCCTACCGAGCTGGACACGTTGAGTTATCTGGCCTACTGAGCTGGGCACGTTGAGTTATCTGGCCTACTGGAGTGACCACGTCGAGTTATCTGACCTACTGAGCTGGGCATGTTGAGTTATCTGGCCTACTGAGCTCGGCATGTTGAGTTATCTGGCCTACTGAGCTGGGCATGTTGAGTTATCTGGCCTACTGAGCTGGGCACGTCGAGTTATCTCGCCTACCGTGGCACGTTGAGTTTTCTGGCTTACTGAACTGGGCACGTTGAGTTTACTCACCTACCGAGTTGGGCACGATGAGATATCTGGCCTACTGAGATAGGCACGATGAGTTATCTGACCTACCGAGCTGGCTACGTTGTGTTATCTGGCTTACTGAGCTGGGCACGTTGAGTTATCTGGCCTACCGAGCTGGACACGTTGAGTTATCTGGCCTACTGGAGTGACCACGTCGAGTTATCTTCCCTACTGAGCTGGGCATGTTGAGTTATCTGGCCTACTGAGCTCGGTACGTTGAGTTATCTGGCCTACTGAGCTGGACACGTCGAGTTATCTAGCCTACTGGACTAAGCACGTTGAGTTAACTGACCTACCGAGCTGGGCACGTTGAGTTTTCTGGCTTACTGAACTGGGCACGTTGAGTTATCTGGCCTACTGGACTGAGCACTTCGAGTTATCTGACCTACTGAGCTGGGCAGGTTGAGTTATCTGGCCTACTGAACTGGGCACGTTGAGTTATCTGGCCTACTGAGCTGGACACGTTGAGTTATCTAGCCTACACGACTAAGCACGTTGAGTTAACTGACCTACCGAGCTGGGCACGTTATGTTATCTGGCTTAATGAACTGAGCACGTTGAGTTATCTGACCTACCGAGATGGGCACGTTGAGTTAACTGACCTACTGAGCTGGGCACGTTAAGTTATCTGGCCTACCGAGCTGGGCCCGTTGAGTTATCTGACCTACTGGACTGGGCACGTTGAGTTATCTGGCCTACTGGACTGAGGACGTCGAGTTATCTGACCTACTGAGCTGGGCATGTTGAGTTATCTGGCCTACTGAGCTCGGCAGGTTGAGTTATCTGGCCTACCGAACTGGGCACGCTGAGCTATCTGGCCTACTGAGCTGGCCACGTCGAGTTATCTGGGCTACCGAGCTGGACACGTTGAGTTATCTAGCCTACTGAGCTGGACAGGTTGAGTTATCTGGTCTACTGATCTGGACACGTTAAGTTATCTGGCCTACTGAGCTGGACACGTTGAGCTATCTAGCCTACTGAGCTGGACACGTTGAGTTATCTGGCCTACCGAACTGGGCACGTTGAGTTATCTGGCCTACCGAATTGGTCACGTTGAGTTATCTGGCTTACTGAGCTGGGCACGTTGAGCTATCTAGCCTACTACTGAGCTGGGCACGTTGAGCTATCTAGCCTACTGGGCTGGACACGTTGAGTTATCTAGCCTACTGGACTGAGCACGTCGAGTAATCTGACCTACCGAGCTGGCCAAGTTGTGTTATCTGGCTTACTGAGCTGGGCACGTTGAGTTATCTGGCCTACTGGACTGAGGACGTCGAGTAATCTGACCTACCGAGCTGGCCAAGTTGTGTTATCTGGCTTCCTGAGCTGGGCACGTTGAGTTATTTGGCCTACTGAGCTGGACACGTTGAGTTATCTGGCCTACTGAGCTTGACACGTTGAGTTATCTAGCCTACTGGACTGAGCACGTCGAGGAATCTGACCTACCGAGCTGGCCAAGTTGTGTTACGTTTAGTTATCTGGCCTACCGAGCTGGACACGTTTAGTCATCTGCCCTACTGATCTGGGCACGTTGAGTTATCTGGTCTACTGACCTGAACACGTTGAGTAATCTAGCCTACTGAGCTGGGCACGTCGAGTTATCTGGCCTACCGAGCTGGACACGTTAAGTTATCTGGCCTACTGAGCTGGACACGTTGAGTTATCTGGTCTACTGAGCTGGGCACGTTGAGTTATCTGGCTTACTGAGCTGGTCACGTTGAGCTATCTGGCTTACTGAGCTGGACACGTTGAGTTAACTCCCCTACTGAGCTAGTTGGGCACGATGAGATATCTGGCCTACTGAGCTAGGCACGATGAGTTATCTGACCTACCGAGCTGGCCACGTTGTGTAATCTGGCTTACTGAGCTGGGCACGTTGAGTTATCTGGCCTACTGGACTGAGCACGTTGAGTTATCTGACCTACTGAGCTCGGCATGTTGAGTTATCTGGCCTACTGAGCTGAACACGTTGAGTAATCTAGCCTACTGAGCTGGGCACGTCGAGCTATCTGGCCTCCCCCCCCGGACACGTTGAGTTATCTGGCCTACCGAGCTGGACACGTTTAGTTATCTGGCCTACCGAGCTGGACACGTTGAATTATCTAGCCTACTGAGCTGGACACGTCGTGTTATCTTGCCTACCGAGCTGGACACGTTGAGTTATCTGGCCTACCGAGCTGGGCACGTTGAGTTATCTGGCCTACTGGGTTAGGGTTAGGGTTAATCAGCGTTAAGTTATCTGGCCTACTGAGCTGGGTACGTTGAGTTATCTAGCCTACTGAGCTGGGCACGTTGAGTTAAATGACCTACCGAGCTGGGTACGTTGAGTTTTCTGGCTTACTGAACTGGGCACGTTGAGTTACCTGACCTACCCAGCTGGGCACGTTGAGTTTACTGACCTACCGAGCTGGGCACGATGAGATATCTGGCCTACTGAGCTAGGCACGATGAGTTATCTGACCTACCGAGCTGGCTACGTTGTGTTATCTGGCTTACTGAGCTGGGCATGTTGAGTTATCTGGCCTACTGAGCTCGGCAGGTTGAGTTATCTGGCCTACCGAACTGGGCACGTTGAGTTATCTGGCCTACTGGACTGAGCACGTTGAGTTATCTGACCTACTGAGCTCGGCATGTTGAGTTATCTGGCCTACTGAGCTGAACACGTTGAGTAATCTAGCCTACTGAGCTGGGCACGTCGAGTTATCTGGCCCACCGAGCTGGACACGTTGAATTATCTAGCCTACTGAGCTGGACAGGTTGAGTTATCTGGTCTACTGATCTGGACACTTTAAGTTATCTGGCCTACTGAGCTGGACACGTTGAGGTATCTAGCCTACTGAGCTGGGCACGTCGAGTTATCTGGCCCACCGAGCTGGACACGTTGAATTATCTAGCCTACTGAGCTGGACAGGTTGAGTTATCTGGTCTACTGATCTGGACACTTTAAGTTATCTGGCCTACTGAGCTGGACACGTTGAGTTATCTGGTCTACTGAGCTGGGCACGTTGAGTTATCTGGCCTATCGAGCTGGGCACGTTGAGTTATCTGACCTACTGGACTGAGCACGTCGAGTTATCTGACCTACTGAGCTCGGCGTGTTGAGTTATCTGGCCTACTGAGCTGGCCACGTCGAGTCATCTGGCCTACCGAGCTGGACACGTTTAGTTATCTGGCCTACCGAGCCGGACACGTTAAATTATTTAGCCTACTGAGCTGGACACGTTGAGTTATCTGGCCTACCGAGCTGGACACGTTGAGGTATCTGGCCTACCGAGCTGGACACGTTGAGTTATCTAGCCTACTGGACTAAGCACGTTGAGTTAACCGACCTACCGAGATGGGCACGTTGAGTTATCTGGCCTACCGAGCTGGACACGTTTAGTTATCTGCCCTACTGATCTGGGCACGTTGAGTTATCTGGTCTACTGATCTGGACGCGTTAAGTTATCTGGCCTACTGAGCTGGACACGTTGAGTTATCTGGTCTACTGAGCTGGGCACGTTGAGTTATCTGGCTTACTGAGCTGGTCACGTTGAGCCATCTGGCTTACTGAGCTGGACACGTTGAGTTAACTCCCCTACTGAGCTGGGCACTTTGAGTTATCTAGCCTACTCGACTGAGCACGTCGAGTAATCTGACCTACCGAGCTGGCCACGTTGTGTTTTCTGGCTTACTGAGCTGGGCACGTTGAGTTATTTGGCCTACTGGACTGAGCACGTCGAGTTATCTGACCTACTGAGCTCGGCGTGTTGAGTTATCTGGCCTACTGAGCTGGCCACGTCGAGTCATCTGGCCTACCGAGCTGGACACGTTTAGTTATCTGGCCTACCGAGCTGGACACGTTGAGGTATCTGGCCTACCGAGCTGGACACGTTGAGTTATCTGGCCTACTGGACTGACCACGTCGAGTTATCTGCCCTACTGAGCTGGGCATGTTGAGTTATCTGGCTTACTGAGCTGGGCACGTTGAGTTATCTGGCCTACTGGGTTAGGGTTAGGGTTAATCAGATATGGAATAGTATGTTGGGCTGGTTGAATTGATATCGTCTATTGAAACAATCATGTTGGTTTAACCTATCTCACGTGACCCGTTAAGCCTTCTTTTTGGTTTTATATTGTCTATAAAACCTGTGGTGACTAGGTTAACCTAATAAAATGATTGTGATCTGAACTAACGTTATACATATGTACAAGGTTTTAGAATCTTAACTAAATGATATGACTGGTAATCAGACTAACAGTGACTTTGATGTGATAATGATTAATCAACTACCATGCTGTCGTTTTATATACAATGGCAAAATTAGCAATTCTGAAAATCCTGGTCTTATTGCAAACACGTCATTTAAGAACACAAAGTGAATTTTTATTTAAATCTAAATAAAATGTGTTGATAAGTAGACCTTCACTTCGAACGTGTTTCTATAAAGTGTCCTCGCCATTTTAAGGATAAATGCTAACGTACACATTAGAAACATGAAATAAACGTACCTTTAAAGTTCATTACCCTATGATTCAGAAAAAGGCTCAGTGTAAAAAATGTTGCACATATCCCTAACTGCCATATTTAGTTACTGCATAGCATGAAACGCCAGCTGGGTGTTATTTTCGCGGTGTTCGTAGTTTCTGTAGAACCGCGAATGTTTGTATCGATGAAACATGTAAACGTAATAACCAAAACGTATCTCTTTTCAGAGTAGTGGCATGGATCCCCCGTCTAACCTTAGTTATCTCCACACCCCGCCCGTCAAACCAAACAACTATTCGACAGTGACCAGGGTTGCAAAGGAGAATGCTCGTCTACGTCCAAACCAAGAGCTTTTCATCCACAGAGAACTGGACGGGTCAAGGTCAAGCTTGACCAATGCCAGTCTGTACCAACAGGCTGATCAGCTAGCGAGGTTTCTAGTAACACAAGGCATTAAGAGAGGAGATGTTGTTGCCCTGGCGGGTCCAAATACGCTGGAGATGGTGATTGGGATGTTAGGAATACTGTCAGCTGGAGCTGTAGTCTTGAATGTCATCATCACCGTGAAGACGTCCCTTGATGTGAAGGCATTATTTCAACTTACACGTGCAAAGTGCATTTTGGTTGACTGCGGTGAAAATAACAGTCTTCTTCCTCCCGTCAAGACGATGCTGGAGAATTGCAATGTACAAACAGGTGAAACGAGCCAAGATGACAAAATTAAGGTTATATTCCTCCGCAAAACAGACTTGGATGGTTTCAAGACGACAGAGAATTTGCAAAAGATACTATCACAGAGCATTGATGAAGTGGATCTTCCACACGTTTACCCAGAAGACAATGCGATAATTTTCACAACATCCGGGAGCACTGGCAAACCAAAGTTGGTTCTCCATTCTCACTTCGACTTTGCAAGTTTTCCGTTCTCTTTGATTCCGTCCACTGTTGACTATGAGTTGATGCTTTTCAACGACAGACCTTTCGGCTGGATTGGAGGAACACCGGTATCGAACATCCTACGAAGTGAGACCAGGATCTTCATGGATCCGTCTGTATCAATGAACACTGAAAATGTAGATTTTCTTTGGCGGGTTTTGGAAGAAGAACGATGTACTGATGCCCTATTGGCGCCTTTCGTAATCCATGATTTAATTGAGTTGCCACAGAAAGATACTAAGGACAGATTCATGTTGCAGCACATCTTTACTGGGGGCCAGATGATAGACAACTACTACACTCGGATCATCGGGAAATTCTGTCACGAAATGGCAATTGTTTACGCTTGTACTGAGGGTACTGGTATCACCCTGCACGGGCCTATTGATCGCACTGAACCACTACTGGCGGGAGATGTCGGTCCAGCATGCCCGGGGGTGGAGATCAGGGTCGTTGACCCCCAAGAACTTCCAATCGAAAGAGGATTGACAGGCAAGATTCAGATCCGCTCTCTTCACTTAATGAAAGAATATGTTGGTAGTCCGGAGCTCACGAAGGAGGCTTTCACGGAAGACAGATGGTTTAGGACGGGCGACATCGGTAAAGTATCCTCAAATGGACATCTCATTCTTCTTGGAAGAGAATCCGACGCCATAAAGAGAGGCACGCGCAAAGTATACCCGGCTATGCTGGAGTTCCTACTGAAGAAGATGGAGTCAGTCAAAGAAGTGTGTGTGGTACCTGTCCCGGATAAAAGGTTGTACGAAGAGATATGTGTGTGTTTTGTACCTTCCGGTAAAATCACTCCCGATGACGTACAACGGTACTGCGAACAGAACCTATTTACGGAGAATACCGTCGATAGCCTCGGAGAAATGCCGACATATTTTTTGCAATATGAAGTCTTTCCTAAACTAGGGAGCGGTAAACCAGACAAAAAAGCAATACAGGTAGACGCTTCTCAGAGGTTAGGATTGACGGGAGTAGGTGCCAGTGAAAACTAATTAAATATCAAATTGTTCGGGGGTGCAAAATAAAGGCAGTGAATCTTTTCTGCAAACGAAACACTGACCCATGTACAATGTTAAGTAGAATATCCAAGAAAATGATACACTAACGGATGCTTGTATATAAAAAACCTACAGTTAGCAATATATTTCAATAGAACTTAACACGTTGATTAATGCAAAACCTATCCTTTACTCCACAGAAAGGTATGGAAATCTTACGCTTTAATCAATTGCATTTTTTCTTCTCTTTCGTATTTGTTTTTAAAGACCATCTCTCGAGAATGTTTGTATTACTTAGTGCAAAGGTAGATCATTGTCGAGATGATCATGCATGTATGCAATGATAAAACTAGTTTTGAAATTTGAGAGTTGAGACTTTATGATAACATCAATATCGGAAGAATCAACTGAAATGACGAATCGGTGGTTGCATGTGTAATTTGCGCTGTTCTATGAAATAGGAGATTTAGATTTTTTATTTAACCACGGAATTAGATGCTATATAAGTCCGTGTTTTTTACATATTGATTTGTGCTATATACTGTATATTTTATACTGTACGAGAAAGTCGACGTACATGCATATGTATATCTGTATATACCTTATTTACTGAAAAAGCCAGAACTTTATGTTATTGACTGTTTATTTGTAAATTGAATTGAAAGGAAAAATAAACAATGAAAACATACAGTGTTGAAGGTTTATGTTTTAGAACAGATAATGTCTACGAGTTGCGGATCAACTCAACAACAATCAGTTGAAATCTTAAGCTAATCTATAAAGCCCTTCACCAAATCATACACAAATCAACAGTATTAACTCTCAATGAGACAGAGACTATAAGTAGTAATATTGATATAAAAAGTACATTATTCCTCCACGCAAATGTAATGATAACACTTTTAATTCATTACTTTTCTAGCTTTGGTTGCCTTTTTAAGAATAAAAAATACTTTTACATGTAGTTACGTAATAAAATACCACGGACTAATTAGATCTGATCTAGTTCCGTGTTAATAACTGATATTTGGTTTTAATGAAATTGAATGGAATTCAATTTAACGGTACACATCTCAGTTTTTGTTTCTTGTATTTTAAAATCAACACAAACCAAAAAATGTTAAAATATTTGTTTCTTGATCGAAAAAAATGTGTAATACATGTATACTTTATATGCTAACAATACCGTGTATAAGTCTATGATAGCCAATATTGGGGTATTGGAACTCTCCTGAATTGAAAATAGTAAAGTGTTATATGTTTATAAATCTTCACTTGTGACCTGCAACTGGTCTCGTTCAACCAGACTCTTGTTCTACTATAGTTTCTTTAACCTTTGATAAAGAGCAGAACATGAAATAAAAAACATAGTCATGATCAGTAGCTTACTGGGGCTACATATACACACTATCAACAAATTATCTTAACCGTATTTAAGTCGACAAGTTAAATTAAATCTACTAACAAAGATCCATAAGGTGTAGAGTAACGTTAAGCTTGGCTTGCTATTGACTCATTCACCCCGGAAGACGCATTTGAACTCCTCCTATTCAAAGGTTGAAATATTTCATTATGAAATTTCCGGGGTAAATGAGTTAAATTTGTTCAAACAATTCGATGTTGGCCCACTTTGATGGTCAGAGATGCATTGATAACGTGAGCCAAACCAGGCTTCTTATGCCTCTTATTGTTTGAAGTGCAGACCAAGGTACTAAACAGCCCCTTGACAAATTTTGACATGTATGAACAGTTGGCATATTATACTTTTTCATTAAAGGTGCTATTCAAATTTTGCATTGTTTCGCTGACATATTCATCAGTCAGAAAATCCCTGTGAAGGTTTAGCAGGAGGTCCCAGAAAGCCCCACACAAGTGAATGATGAAGACAGTGCCGAGGATTCAGATAGATTAACTGAAGGAGGATCAACATCTCATTTCTCAACGTGATCATTTAAAAGTGAAATTAATAATAATGGTTTGGACATGAAGAGGCCCCTCTGCCAGTTAACAGCACAAACAATCACCAACAGCTTTGCACAAGTCAATGAGAACGAACAACTCTCCCAATTCCTTATACTATCATTTGGCTGTTCCAATGATCAGATCTAGATTTTTTGATATGACTCGGAAGATGATGTTCTGGTGAAGAAGATTTATCCCAGTCTGTTATGTACAGGTAGTATTTGGCATCTTTCAGTTTCTGCTATTGTCCTAATTTGGATGTACTTGCATTTTCTCCTTCCTATGCAACCGTCCTTAGCAAATAAAAATGACACCAATATTCAGTATAATGTTTACAATAGCAACACAATCAAATATTTTCGTAAAAATACAAAGTGCCAGACTAGCGGATTTCCACCTGAGGGTGGTTTCCAATTTTCTCAATACTCGTTTCTCCAGACCAATAAAAATGAGGACTTATACACATTGGTTTAGGTGAAGAGTTCAAAACAATCGCTTGTTATTTTTTTGTGGATTATGCATCTCGGACAATACCATACATGTACCAACATAGAATTTAATGCATATTATATATTTTTTTAATGGGAACTTTCATGACCATTTCTTCTCCATGAGGAAAACTGTGTATTAAAAGTTTTACTGACTGTGGCACGGGTATAGAATCATCCTTGAGGCGTGACCTTGAAAAAGAGTGAAGGTCATTTATTTGAACAAACTTAGTAGCCCATCATCATAGCTCGCTACTGGCCACATATCTACATCCTGGGTGTTTGGGTTATTCAGGAGGAGTTGTTTAAAGGTTTTCTTAAGACAGTTGACCCCTGTAACCTTGACTCTGAGTGAAGGTCATTCATTTGAACAAACTTGGTAGCCCTTCATCCCAGCATGCTACCGGCCAAATATCATCACCCTGGGCATTTTGATTATTCAGAAGTTGTTAAAAGATTTAAACATATTTGACCCCTGTGACCTTGAATATGGTTGAAGGTAATTCATTTGAATAAACTTGGTAACCCTTCATCCAGTTTGTTACTGACCAAATATCATCACCCTAGGGCTTTTGGTTATTAAGTATAGGTTGTTTAAAGTAAAACATTGACACCGGGCGACGGACGGACGACGGACGCCGCGCCACGGCATAGCTCACTTGGCCTTTCGGGCCAGATGAGCTAATAAAAATGGTTAGGAGGATGATATTTAGCAAGTAGCAAGCTTGAGCGAAAGGTTTGAAAAGATTGTTCAAAAGAATGAACTTGAGCTATATTCAAGGTCACAGTGGTCAAATATGTTAAAACAACTTAAACATCTTCTGAATAACCAAAATGCAAGGGATGGTGAAATGTGACCACTATACATGTCGCATGCTCAAATGAAGAGCTCTCAAGTTTGTGCATCTGCATGACCTTGCCACTTTCAAGGCCACATCTGGTCAATTGTGTTTAAATCTTTAAAAGTGAATTTCTCAAATACCAAAAGGTATAGGCAGGTGATATTTGGCAAGTTGCATTCTGGGATAAAGGGCTATACAGTTTGTACAACTGTATGTCCTTGTTTAACTTTCAAGGTCACAGGGGTCAAATGTGTTAAAATCTTTCAGCAGGTTCTTTTGGATTACTTTGAGTCAAGACACTGATATTTTGCCTGTAGCTTTATTTTAGTCCACTTTTACGGTTTCAGTTGTGAGATTTATACCAGGTGAGCGATGCATGCCCAATGGGCCTTTGTTTATCTTTTTTTCTGCCTTCTCTGCTTAAGAAGTTTACTTGAATATTGCATGTTGGACATACTATTAGGTTTTTCTCTATAGACGTGTCAGACTATTGACCACCTACTTACCAGGGTTCTCTACCTGATACACTACAATCTATACTTAAACAATTCTGTCCATGATGATTTAATTGTTTGTTCGTTATGTCTTACGACATTGTTGACCTATGCAATAATGCACCACATGTGGCGTTGGAAATTATTGCCTACATTCCAGATTACCTGATTTTACCCCCAACTTTTTGTGGAGGTTCATAATATTGCACTTTCCAGGGCTTGCAGTAGATCATTTACAGTATGTTTTTGACTCCCCAAAATGAGCTTTGTCTCTTGTGGTTTAAAAGGATATGTGTTTTGACCCTTCAAATTTCCGGGGAAAGGTGATTTGACTTCTGTAATTGCTAACTGTTAAGGGTCAACTGAAAGATCTGCTTTCAAATTACTTAAACATTGTTACTACAGGAAGTCTACAGTTATTATGACCTACTCAGTTGCGGTACAAGACGACATGAACTAGCACTTATCCATCTTCAACATTCCAAGGGTTCCACTTTGGATATCAATCATTATTTTCTCTGCACCCTTGAAATATGCCATGACAAAGCTGCAGTCTTATGGTCACCAATTTTATTAGTATTTGACTGAATAACAATTCCAGAGGGCCTGCATTGCTCACCTAAACAATACAACAAGGATGGCAAATTATTCATATTTCATATAACAACTATTTCCAAATATTGGCTCCGTCTATCAGCAACAACCGTCCCTCATTAGGTTCTTTCCTTTTGCCCTCATGCATTGGGGAGGATTTTAAACATTAATTTTCATTTCCTCTATTGCCCTCTGTTTATACAAAATTGAGTCCCCACTGCCCAAGGATGCTCTACACAGAATTTGGTTAAAATCCCTCCACAAAAACTGAAGAAAAAAGGATTTTAAACATTTATTACTATGCTCCCCGGACAAGAACCGTCCCCTTTGCTCCCAGAGGGAACACGGTCTCTGTTAAAACAAATCGAGTCCCCTTTCCCAAATGATTTCTCTGGACAAAATTTTGTTAAAATAACTCAAATCATACTGAACGAAAATGATTAAAAAGATTTACCTAAACTTCCCCTATTGGGCACCGCCCCTCTCCACCAAAGGGGGCCAAGACCTCCATTGATACAACATTGAGTCCCCGTTTACCCAAGGATGCTCTAGACCAAATTTGGTTAAAATTACTCCAACGATACAGGAGGAGAATGATTTTAAAAATATACCTCAATTTCTCCTATTGGGCCTAACCGCTTTGCACCCAGAGGGGCCATATGTTACGGGTGAGAAATCGTGCTTAAATTACTGCGTTCCATCCCGTCCCGTCCCGTCACGTCCCGATTCAATGTAAACACTTAGCAACCTCATTCTTTGACAGATATTGGTAAAAGTCAAGTATGAGTATACTTCGGATATCGTTGTGTTTCAGGGATCCAAGGTCAAGGCCAAGGTCACACTTGCTATAAATAGAAAATCATCAACTCATTCAATTTAAACACTTAGTAACTTCATTCTTTGGTGGATTTTTGTCAAACTTTATACAAAGGTCAAATATGGGTATACCTCTAACATTCTTGTGTTTCAGGGTTCCAGTTTAAAGGCCAATGTCACTGTTGCTATATATAGAAAATCATCAACTGATTCAATTTAAACATTTAGCAACTTCATTCTTTCAATGATAACAATAGTATAGTAACATATCACGGATAAAGACATACGTGTATCAGAATTGATAACAATGATATCGTAACATATTACAGATAAGGACATACGTGCATCAGAATTGATAACAACAATATAGTAACATATTATAGATATAAAGACATACGTGTATCAGAATTGATAACAATGATATAGTAACATATTACAGATATATACATACGTATATAAGAATTGATAACAATGATATTGTAA